ACCCCCTAAACCCTAAACCCTAAACCCCTAAACCCCTAAACCCAAAAACCCTAAACCCCTAATCCCTAAACCCCTAAACCCCTAAACCCCCAAGCCCTCGAGGTACCTGGTCGGCGAGAACAACGGGGACGGTTCTGTGACCTTCCACCGGAGACCCTACCCCGGCCCGGAGGGGCTCCTCCGCCGGCAGCCATTTTGGGATTTTAGGGATTCTAGGGATTTTAGGGATTTTAGGGGTTTTAGGGGTTTAGGGTTTAGGGATTTTCAGGGATTGTAGGGATTTTCGGGCTTTATGGTGCTACTGAAGCTTCCTTAGGGTTACTTTAATCGTGTATATAAAGTATTTAATGAGGACCGGCAGCTGCTATAGGGGCCCTAAGACTTGGTGGTTTCTGCAAGGCTCATAAGTGCTACTGTGAGGGTTGGGTCTTGGAGGTCCTCTACCGGTGTAGGATCCGGCCGGCCCATATCTATGTGCTGAGGCTGTGGAATGTGGTATTCGCAAAGCCGCCTCCGCCTGAGCCACCATTGAATGAAGAGGCGGCGAAGGAGGCGGCAAAGGAGGCGCGCTTGTCTCGGTTCACTCATGGGGATCGGGGGGATTTAGGGTTTCCTAAGGTTACCCAGAGAGCTAATAGTATCGCCGATTGAGGTTGAAGATTGAGTGGTGAAGATTAATGCTGGATTCTTGTATAGTCACCTACTATATCCTGAGTCGAGTATGTAACCGGGACCTTGTGGGTGTTGTGGCGTCTGGAGGGAGATGTTCTGCGCCACTGTCCCGAACAACCGAGGCAGGAAAACCCAACGCCCTGAATTCTGAGCCCATCTGAGCCCTCAATCCCAAACTAAATCCTAAACCCTAAACACTCAATCCAAAAAACCCTCAATCCCAAACTCCGCATCCACATGCCTTTGCTGCTTGATCAGTGTACCTCGAACTATTTCGTCCAACCTTCGCCTCGCTGGTTGAGGCTCTTATGCTCCTACACACCCAGACCTCGAAGCTCTAAGACCCAGAATGTGCCCCAAAGTGGAGAACCCTTTCTGTCAAGGAGGCAACGCGCCTTCGAATAACAAAAAAGACCTAACCTAAACCCTAAACCATCGAAAGCTCTTTTGGCCTTTTTTTGTGGGCTCCTTTTCAAGGAGCCCACAAAAAATCGTGCCGATGAGGAGGACATCGTGGTCGACATGCCGGCGGACGTTCCACCCGAGGCGCCCCCAGCTTGATGCTCCGTACATAGTTCTATTGTGCAGATCCGTATATGTTACTCTTATACCTGTACTCAACCCTACAGTAATACATGTGACAACCTGCTTGGGTAGTCCAACCTCTATGCTAATTTCACCGGCTCACCTCCTGAGAGACTCCAATATCCCTCAATTAAGGAATATATACCTTAAATTGTAATAGGATCCCTAATAAGATTTAAGCTATATTCCTTAATTAAGGGATATTGGAGTCTTTGGGTCTAGAACTTTAGTTAGATCGCCTCAGAAGCTGCACAAGTTGGAACGTTGAAATGGCAAGCCCGCAAGTTGTTCATGTCCCAAACCCTAACGGCCCTAACCCTAAACCCTAAACCCTACACCCTAAACCCTAAACCCTAAATCCCAAACCGTATAATACCCGAAACCCCAAGCCCTAAACGGTTTGGTGCGTTCTCAACGTTTTGAGGCCTTGGCTTGAGGTTCCCTAGCGCGTAACCAAGAGCCCATAAATCGCGGATCCCAAGAATGAACCTTGTAAGCCCTGCAGTTTAGGGTTTATACTTTAGGGTTTAGGGTTATAGGGTTTGCCCGAAGTCCAGAACCCCCAAAACCCAAAACGGGGATCAGGACCCTCGACTCTGTGCTTCTAACCCCTGGCCCAGAAGCTCCAGCCCGAAGCCCGAAATCTAGGGATCGGAGCCCCAGACGGAGCCTCTGATCAGGTGGAGGAATTGGCTACCCACGATCCGGAGAAGGAAGGGAACGCACTGGATATGGTCAAGGAGCCAGCATGCCGGGAACAGGTATCGGGTACTTTCATTTTGGTTACTACTTGGCCGCCAAACAGACTCTAGTCAACCCACCATCGTCGAGCAGCCTGAACTTAGCCTCCGGAATTTCCGTGGTTGTGGCTGTGGAGAGAACGACAAAGTGCCTGGAATACTTGCCCAAAATACTAACATGGGCTATACTTACACAAAATACCAGCAATTCCTTAGGTTTTTGTTGTTATGTCCCAGGGCAAACCCAAATGCAGCTCAAAACCCTCTAACCCAAACCCTAGACCCTAAACTTCCAAAGCCCCTTGAGCTTTGGGGGCAGGAGGGCGACCAGGCGAAGGCCATGGAACAAGCTGAGGCGGCGAACGCCCAGTGAGCATGGCTCTGGAGCTCTCTACAGATTGGGGGTTCTTGTTCGGGTTCCCAGAGACTCCAATATCCCTTAATTAAGGAATATACCTTAAAATTATAATAGGATCTCTAATGAGATTTAAGGTATATTCCTCAATTAAGGGATATTGGAGTCTCTGGGTTCTGTAGGGTTTCCAAAAGGGTCCTGTAAGGGTTCTATAGGCATCTATAGTAAAGGGTCCTGTATGGGTTCTATAATATAAGGCATCTATAAGGGATCTAGAAAGGGCTTCTTTTTTGTCGCTACGTTCGCTTCCCAGATGTTTGTAACATTCGAGCCTAAACACCTGGAGTAGGGTCTACATAGGGGTAGATCAGGAACCCTAAGGCGTCACAGTAGGCTTGAATGTGACTGTTCGTGCTATTATTGAACCAGCTTTTGATTACCTTGTCATGTGGTCTTCTCGTGTTGTATCAAGGCTCTATGGGGCGTTACAGGGTGTAATATGGTTTGCTGCAGAAGTACGGTTCCTTTTCTGGCTGACAGTCGTTGCGATACCATTTAGGGAGATGCAACCGACGCTGTGACAACACGAAGTGAATGAAGCCCCAAACTCAGTGAGTGCGGCAATGCAGCAGGGAAGGTCCTTGCTGTGAACGGCTGCCATATCCCTCCGCGAGCCTTGGGCTAAAGTGCCGAGGTAACCATGACTTCATGCTCCTGAAACTCTTAAACACCCCCGGTTCCATAGGGGTTCCCGTCGGTGACTAACTTCCCCCGAAGACCTACACCCCCGTATCGATCCCGACATCCGAAGCCTAAGGCTCCATGTACCCATATAGTAGATACTTAGGCCTTAAAGTACCTGTATGGGGATCCCAATAAGGCCTAAGAATCTACTGTTTTGGTACATGGAGCCTTTGGGTAAGCACCCAGATGTTTCTTTGACTGGGGCAGTGGACGCGGCGTGCGGACCTCCGACGAAAAGGAAGCTGCAGGGCTTTTGGGTTCAAAGGTGTCGGGGTCCTCGAGATCGGTCTACAGGTAACTTAGCCTTTCATGCTAGGGTTAAGGGTTTAATTGGGGGATTTTGGTGAAGGTTTAGGGGGCTGGACTTCTAGAGTACACTCAGCAGCCCTTCGAAGACGAGGAGTAAGTTGTAGACCCTTGCTTACTATCCTTCTAGTCGGGCACTTTCAGGAAAGGAGTGTATCAACCAGAGGTCTAAATATTACCCATTATGATCCATCATCAGAGACTAGAGGGGTCACCGTTCTCAACACGAGCTTCAGTCTTTTTCTAGCCATGCCTACTTAGGCCCCTACTATGTTACTGTAACCCCACCAAACGGTTTGGGGCTACAGCCAACGTTAGGAGCCTGAAGAGGTCAATACTTTTCCACAGTGCTCGGTGTTTTGTCACACGAAAAACCGTCTTTTAACTCAGGCCCTATTTAGGGCTATTAGGGTTTAGGAGGTTTTAGGGTTTAGGGGTTTAGGGTTTAGGGTATGTTGTGACCTACATGTGCGACGCCCCGCCATGAAGCCGACACAGATCCTTGTCTCACGGGCCCGAGCCATGTCAAGAGAAGTCCAAATGAAAGTCGGCGGCCACGAAAGCCCTGGCCCTATTTCAACCCCCTATCAAGCCCTAAACCTTAAACCCTCTAAGCCCCAAGCCCCAAAATGAAGCCCTGAACTGTAAAACGCACGCCCTAGACCCTAAGATCGTAAACCCTGCTTACTTGGGCCCGGGGCTTGGGCGTAGGCCGACTTCTCGGCCAAGTCTGAAGAGGAATTCCTTGAGGCGAAGCAGTCGAAGAAAGGCGCAGCATGGAGGATTAAAGGCTTTCCTTCACCCCAAGTAACCCACCTTTTTGAGGACTTATATTTAAAAAAATCGTAATAAGGAGCCCTAAAACGGTAGGTTCTTTAGGGTCCAGGTTGGGAGTACAAGAAGAAAGACGGGGGGTTTAGGGGTGGAAGGATCAGGTGTTTTGGGAGCAAAAAAAATTCGGGTTGAACAGATTTGGGGCTAAACTCGGTTTTTTATGCCCCCTAAACCCTAAACTCTTAACCCTTGGGGCTTAGTTATAGGGTCTTTGGGCATGAGTCTAGGTTTGCTTTGAGGTGAAAGTGCCGACGAAGGAGCCCCAAACCCCTCCAAAACATGGCATGCTTGACTCTGAACCCAGGATTTAGGCTTTAGGGTTCAGGGTTTAGGGTTTAGGGTTAAGGGTTTAGGGTTTAGGCTTTAGGCTTTAGGGTTCAGGGTTTCGGGTTTAGGGTTTCCCCTTTTGGCGAAATCGGCTCGCGACGGCCAGGCGTGGAGAAGGAGCTCGATACCCTGGCCGGCACGAAGCTGGATCTCCATGAGAGCCGGGAGCCGATCTGACGATGGAAATTTGAGGGTTCATGGGTTGAGGGTTCAGGGTGTAGGGTTAAGGGGGTATAGGGCCCGAGAAATTTGAGGGCATAGGGTTGAGGGTTTGGGATTTAGGGTGTAGGTTTAGGGGGTTATAGGGGCCTAGAAATTTGAGGGTGTGGAGTTGAGGGTTTAGGATTTAGGGTCTAGGGTTAAGCGGCGGTCTAGGGCCCTAGAAATTTGAGGGTGTAGGAACGACCTTACAAAATCCGAACCCTTATGCATACTTTGGGTTAAGGATTTAGGGTTTAGTGATTGGGCTTTATAGGGTTTAGGGTTAGGGGAAAACACGAAAAGACCGGGTCAGGGGCTGCGAGCGTTGCGCTTGAGGCTGCGACTGGGCCATGCAGAATTTCGATGCGCGGCAGAAGGCCTTCTACAGTCACTTGCAGATGCCGGTCAAAGGATGGGTCTAGGATGTTTTCAGGTGAGTAGTTACCGTTATCGGAGCCTTATAGAAGGTCTGTATACCTTATTCTAGAAGCCATAGAGAAGCCCTATATACCCCTAAACTCCCCACCTGTAGTTTCCTTTAATTAGGGTTTGGTTTAGGGTTTAGGGTTAGGGCTTGGTGACAGTGTTTGAGTTTGCAGAAACGGCTTCGGGCTCTGTAACTTTATCGCTTCTGCATGTGTCTCTGCAAAGCCACATGGGTATTCCTCTAAATTAGGGTTCCCCTTTATTTACAGGTCCCCAAAATATTACGGCGCCGTTAAAAAACAGATTCTAAACGGGACTTTAATTTGGAGAACTACCCACATACAACCTAGACCCTCCATCTACCCTGTATTAGACCCTAAATACCCTTAATTTGGGACCCTTTGCCCCTATTTGAGGGTACTTGGAGGGAATCATCCAGATGTCTTTCTGAGAGGCCCGGGTCGAGGAGATGGACGCCCTGAACACGGCAGGGCTCCCGAGACGCAGGGATTGAGGCTTTATAGGGTTTAGAGTTGAGGGTTCAGGATTTACGGTGTAGGATTTAGGGTTTAGAGTTGAGGGTTTAGGATTTAGGGTGTAGGATTTCGGGCTTGGAGTTGAGGGTTTAGGAGTTTGGGTGTAGGATTTCCGGTTTAGGATTGAGAGTTTAGGGTCTTAGACTCGGGCTTCTAGATTGGAGAGCTAAGGTAAAGAACGATCGCGAAGCTCTTTCAAGGAATGCGCACGGGTGCCTTAACAGTTAGACTAGGATCAAGGATCTGGGGGGAAAAAATTATTGCTGTGCTTGTTACTCAACTTTCAATTGCTGGGCTCTTTTCATTTGTTGGTTCTGGAAGCTGTTCAACCCATTGGACTTTGGGAACGAAGCAAGTTTAAGGAAAGCGTCTAGTATTCCTTCGGCAGCTGAAGGAGACTCTACTACCGGAAATGCCACGCTAGGTTTGCCACGCTAGGTTTAGGGTTCAGGGTGTGGGGACATGCTTGTTGCGAGTGGCACTGTCACCATGATATTACTAGTGCCCTGCTGGGGTGCTTGTTATTGGGGTCTTTTCGTCTTTAGTTCTTCAACTGTCTCTGTAGCTTCAGTCATCATGGACCGTAAGGGGGAGCCTTAAGAGTGGCCTTCTACCCTGAACCCAAACCCAAGACTCTAAACCCTAAACCCTAAACCCTATGCCTCTGTCTCTAACCTTGTACCGGAATCCACCGAGGCCAAAGCCTACCTGTCCGGGGCGAAGCTGTAAGTGCACCTCACCCAGTTGGTTCCCTTTGCCTTGTTTCAGTCCAGGGGAAGGGAGAGGTCAGAGTTTCGGGGCTTCGGGTCGATAGCAGGGTTAGGGTTTAGGGTTTGGGGTTTGGGGTTTAGGGTTTAGAGTCTTAGCACCATTCGAGGGAGCGTTGACAGTTCCTCCTTTCCAGACGAAGGAGCAGAGTTTGCGAGCGCACCGGATCCAAAGCCCTCATGGAGCTTTGTGAGCTTCATGTTCGGCCTTCAAGGGCTTAGCATTTAGGGTCATGAGGGCTTTACGCTTTTATCTTGAATACAGCCAGCTTCAATAGGATTGTTGGGTACCAGAATCACATTGGGGACAATATATAACTTCTACTTTAGGCTGCAGGGCCGGAAATTCCAGCCTGAACTCGAGTCAGACAACTAGAGGTAAGTCCTTTTGGGTCCTAAAGATGTGAGGGTCCGACTAGTCGGGAACGTTTTGCATTGGATTCGCCTAGTTTCTGAGACTAATTCCATCGTTCCAGCTGCTGTATTGCAATGCAGGATTTTTGTGCCTCAACTTAAGAAACCAGAGCTGTTCTCGATGCCGTGCTGGTTGCTGCAGGAAGCACAGCTCTCTGAGAGAAGACATCCGCGACAGTCTCAGCATAGACGCAAAATTGCGCGAGGTCGAAGGGGTTGCTCGATGTTTCTCAGCCTGCAAGAACTGGCCCCTCAACACTGAGCCGTAAACCCTAAACCGATTCTGTTGTAGGGTACCAGATCACGGACCCGCAGGGATAACAAGTCCGGTTGCACGGGCCCAAATAATTTAGCACCATGATTCCTTCGGGTTCTTGATTCTGAACATACTCTAACATACCCCAACGCCATAGGCTGGTTACATCTTGAGGCCGTTATGGTAGGTCTTGGTCGGAGTTCGACT